TTTCTTTAGCTCTTGGAGCATATTTAAGATAGCTGTTTTAATGTATTTGTCTAGTAAGTCTGCTGTCTGTGCCTCTTCAGTGGTGGCTTTACCAATTAATTTTGTTTCTTTGAATGGACCACGATTTACCATTTTGTTGTATGCCTTGTGATTTTTTGTTGAAAATTGGGAATTTGTTTAAAACAGCTGCTTCTCTCAGTTTTTGCAGACTGCCTTTATGCCTGGGCAGCCATTCATTGAGTAGCTAGGCAAATTCTGAGCCTAGGAATCAGACTGAAGTGAAATCTTAAGGTCTTCTCAGGTCTTTTCTGAGCATCCATCTTGCCTGGGCTTACATATGGCTTTCTCAATTTCCTTTATACACACCTGCTTTTGAATGTCCTAATTTCCCAAAGAGTCTCACTCAGATTCTCCTTGGGGCCTTATATGATCTACTACATGTCTCCATCTACAATCCCTTGCCCAAGAATATGTGAGTCTGTAGTCTCCCTGTAGCTTTTACAAGCAATGTCCACCATTCCCCAGCCAAGATCTGAGTCAAGCAAGATAGAGACCAGTTCTTTGGGCAGCCCCCAGACAGGTTAGAACATTGCGAGTATGATCTACTCTGTTCCCTCCAGTTCAGGGGAGAAAATTGGGAATTACTTCTATCTTCTTCTGATCAAGACCATACCATTCAGAGAAAAGGTGAGGAAAGATTGAGTAAAAACACTAACTAAGAGCCAGGCCTAATGGCCTAGTAATTAAAGCTCAGCATGTTCTGCTTTGGCAGCATGGGTTTGGTTCCCTGGTGTGGAACTACACCACTTGTCTGTCAGTAGCCATGCTGTGGTGGTGGCTCACATAGAATGACTTACAACTAGAATATACAACTATGTACTGGGGCTTTGGGGAGGAAAAAGAGAGAGGAAGATTGGCAATAGATGTTAGCTCAGGGATAATCTTTCCTAGCAAAAAAAAAAAAAAAAAAAAAGCCCCCAAAAAAACAACACCAACTAAAATTTGCATGGTTGCTGTAGACTTTTCACTCTTTTCCAGAGCTCCTATAGGGTTAGTTCAGCCAGTTTCTGTTTTTTTGGTTTTTTTTCCCTTGTGTTCCCATTAGGGAAACAAGGGCTTAGAATTTCCTAGTTTGCCATTTTGCTAACATCACTCCATTTTCCCCATTTTGAATTAGAGCATCTAGTACAGTTATCCAATCCACGTCTTACCATTGTATGTTGGGCATTTGAGGGCAGATAACATCTTTTTAACTTACAGATCTCTAAATCAAGAGCGTTGAACCAAGGAGCCTCATACTCATGTATCATATCCAGACTTGATACAAATGAGGAGATTTGAACTTTGAGCAGCCACCATAATGGCATGAGACTTTTGAAGGAGGAGTGCATGTATTTTGCATGCAGGAAGGATATGAAAGGTTGTTGTCAGAGGATATACTATGGTAAGTCATTTTCAAAGATGGCCCAAAAGAAGTTCTCTCTTTCTCGTACATACGTACTCATTGTTCCATCTAGAAGTGGAATGTATTTCTCCTTCCCTTGATCTGGAATGGCCTTGTAAGTGGCTTGGACCAATAGAATCCAGTTGAAATGATGCTCTTGGACTACCAAGTGAAGGCCTTAGAAGATCTTGTATCTTTCACTTTCAACCTCTAATTCAGCCATCATGTAAAGAATCTTAGGTTAAGTCACTGAATTGTGATAGACCACATGCAGAGACAGGCTATATAGAGGAGCACCAAGGCTCCCCAGCTGAGCCTCAGCTAAGTGGAGTCACATGCATGATACCAGTCTACACTGTGTGAGCAAAGAGCCATCCAGCTGAGCCCAGCCAACACCACGTATTAGCTTTTCCCTGAGCCCAACCAAATTTCAGAATCATAAGCAAACAAAAATGGTTGTTGTTTTAAGTCACTAGATTTTTTTGGAGGGCTATGAAAGGGAGAATCGTTATGCAGCATTGCCACATTATTTATCTGAGACAACTATTTAATTGATTTTCATGAGTAACTTAGACTACAAGCAATTTTCATCTATATAGATGACTTCAGAAACTAGCCCCTATTTAAAATGAGACTCCTGTATATCCTGTCTTTTTCTTGTTAAATCTACATGCTAGAGATGAAAGGGTATACATTTCAGGGATACAAATTTCTGGGTATTAAATTGTATTTCTGCCATTTATAAGCTATGAGGCCATATTAAGTGATTTCACCTTTCTGAGTCAAGGTTTACTATTCTGTAAAATGAAGATTATAATTCTGACATGGGTTTTTGGAAGGATGAGATATGCTAATATGCAGAGTTGGGTCCATACGTATGTCTGCACAACCTGCACAACTGCATGTGGTGATGCTGTTGTGTAAAACATGCAGCATACTTCCTGGCACATAGTAGGCATGTGAATGGTGTTAATTAGAGTTAATTAGACATTGAAATGTGATCAGACTTCAAAGGAAGGAAGCTATAACAGCAAGCTGACAGATGTTTGGGTTATTAATAAAGCTAATTAAATTAATAACATGAGTTTATACTTGTAAAGGGATTGGAACAGTGCTTGTCCACATACAAGCACTAAATATATACTAGCTAGTATTATTATTATTGTTGCTTCTGTTATTATTTGGACAGGTGGCTTCACCTAACATCCCTTCTGGTCACACCTAGAAAAAAGTGTTTATGTCAAGTCTTGCTTTAGGTCCTGGTACCCTCATGCTGGTAAACCATCTTTGGGGCCTATCTCTCTCCCACAGGGGAAAGCAAGAACACCGTAATATGAATCTCATGCCCAACAGATGCATCTATTTCATTTTGACATCCACAATTAGCCATGCATCCTCTCTATCTTAGAAATTTTTGCTCTTTGGAGTAACTGAATGGCTTTATTATTATTACTATTGTCTGAAGAACATAGACCTGGAGAAATGCTTGATTGCTAAAACTAGAATGTTCTATTTCTCACCTTTCTTCCCTTCCCTTGCTCTTCACTAATTTGATAACCTACAATGTTCCAAGGAGTATTTGAAAAACCAAGTATTTTCCAGTTTGCTTTACATTAATTTCGTCACTTATTTCTTAGTTCAGGCATTTTTTGAGTGTTAATTTTGTGCTGTCATGTAATTTTTGACCTGGAGGGTTTCATCAGCAGTCTTCAGGACACCCTTGACTTCACATTTTTGTTCTGGGGTCAGAGTTCCACATGTCTTAAGTCTCCTACCAAACAGCCCTGTGTTAAGTAACCTGAATCCCTTTAGCTCAGTGGTAGCCTCAGATCCTTTGTATTTCTGACCAAACTTCAAGAATTAGTTATCTAATGTTGTATAACAGATCACCTTAACACTTAGTAACTTAAAACAACAATTATCACTTATTATTTCTCACAGTTTCTGTGGGTTAGAAATTAAGGAGCAGTATTATTGAGTTGTTCTGACTTGGGATCTCTCATGAGGTTACAGTCAGATGTCAGCTGGGGCTGCAGTCATCTGAAGGTTTGAGTGGGGCTGGAGGCTCCATTTCCACAGTAGCTCACTCATGTGGCTGACAAGTTGGTACCAGTTAATGGTAGAGAGCCTCAGTTCCTTTCCAGGTGGGCCTTTCCACAGGGCTTCTTGAGTCTCCTAACAGCATGGTAACTGGCTTCTCTCAGAGCAAAAGACCCAAGAGAGAAAAACAGAAGATTCGATGCCTATTGTGACCTAGCCTAGGGAATCAAATCATCACTTCCCCCATATTCTGTTGGTCACACCAGAAGGCGTCTAGGAGACTACACAAAGGAGAGAATACTAAAAGATATTAAATTACTAGAGGTCACCCTGAAGGTTGACCACTACATGACCATGCTTCAATGATATTTCTAGAATTAAGTCCAAATCTAAAATTCTGACCAGCCCAGTTGTTGACTACATACCACAGGCAAAAGTTCTCCTGTACTTTATGAAAGTGCCTTCCCCCTTGACTCTCTTCAGAGCTGTTATTCCTAACCAATGGTTCTAGAATTGATTATTTTATTTATGCAATTCTGAATAACCTCTGTTATTTTAAAAGAAAGAAGGAAAGAGGAAAGGAAGAGAGAGGGAAAGAAGTAAGGAAAAAAGTGAGAAAAATTTCTACCTAAGGTTTTTGATCTTGTTCTTCAAGTGTTCTGAAACTCCAATTGTCATACCGAAGACAGTGTTTTCCAGTATCTTGTTTTGAAGGATCAGGTCCATTAATGGGTTCCAAGCTTACATTTCTTCCTCGATTCGTTTTAGCAACTTGTTCCTTGGTGTTTTTTGACAGGCTCTCTCACTTCCTCTAGGATGTGAGAAGTGATATTTTTACAAATATGGTTTTCTTAGTTCAGATCTTCTCTGTATATACAGAGAATATTTAGTATTTCCCATCAAACACACAGAATGTGTCGCAATTAGAATTTTTGCCAGTGTCTGTCCTGCAGACACATTGCTTTGGAAAAAAGCACATATTTGCATTTTAAAACAAAGATCTACATTGATGCTGCTGTCCACAATTTGGTTTTCCTTTTGCTAAACTGGATGAGTTTTTCTCTAGGTTGTATACACACAGGCCTCCTCATAAAGCACGTGGATGTTCTTAGGCAGGATGATTTAAAGGGTAAGAGTTCAGGCTTTGGCATCTGGACCTGGGTGTGAATCACCGTTCTGCCAATTACGAATTAAGGGGGCAATTGGCAGGTTATTTAAATTCTCTAAGCTTCAGTTTTCTCATCTATAAAATGAGGCTAACAATGGAACCAATTGTATAAGGGTTGTCAGTTCAAAACTGGTCCTTACTCAAAAAGTAGGTTTTTTTTCTATTTTTGTTTTGCAGGGAAAGATTCGCCCTGAGCTAACATCTGTTGCCAATCTTCCCATTTTTTTTTTCCCTCCTCAAAACCCCCCAGCGCGTGGTTGTATATCCTAATTGTAAGTCCTTCTAGTTCTTCTATGTGAACTGCCGTTGCAGCATGGCAACTGACAGATGGGTGGTGGGGTGTCCACTACCGGGAAATGAATGTGGGCTGCCGAAGCGGTGAGAGAGCTGAAATTTAACCACTAGGCCATCAGGGCCGGCTCTCAAAAACTGGTTTTGAAATGCAATCTAAGACAGCAATAGTCATTGTGTTAATGTGTGAAGTGAAATGGGACAGATGAAAGTGCTTTGAAAAGCTTAGACCACTCTGACGATATTCTGAAAACATACCCATACGTATTCTTCCTGCAGATGAGTTCAGATGACTGCTACTCTGGGAAAACACCCAATATGTCACACTAGTAGATATATCCTACTAGATATATCCTTCAAAATAGCATAAACTTCAGTGTAGACATAATTCAGACTTTTTAAACATTAAATTCAATATTGGATGGAAATCAAGCTTCACTTTTTCTCAAGAAATATTAGGTGTCTGTCTTTGATATCTTCATAGATCTGGGGTTCTCTATGGCAGTGGGGTACTCTTCTGATGGAACATTTCTGTCAACTAAAAAAGTGGGGAGTCATAATCTTAACAAGTTACTTATTTTTTCTTTGTAAAATGTACAGTTTTGTGTTAATATATTCTACATTTTAAGAATATACACAAAGAATAGAAAGTTTTATATAATGAATAAATAAAAATAGTGGTTGCCAATTTGTCTTTACAAATTCCAATGGATTATCTTGTCCACACGATGAGATGTACACACTCTATTTTGGAGATTGCTGCTTACTCTTAGTTGAACAAGAAGAAATGGTCGATTAAAACAACAATGAGATACCACTGTACACCTAGTGGAATAGCTAAGATCCAGAACACTGACAGCATGAAATGCTAATGAAGGATGTAGAACAACGAGAATTCTTATTCATTGCTGGTAGGAATGCAAAATGGTAGAGCCACTTTGGAAGACACTGACAGTTTTTCACAAAACTAAACACAGGCTTATCATATGATCCAGCAATCATGCTCCTAGGTATTTACTCAAATGAGGTAAAAACTTATGTCCACAGAAAAACATGCACATGAATGTTTATAGCAGCTTTACTCACAATTGCCAAAAAAAGCAACCAAGATGTCCTTCGATAGGTGAATGGATAAATAATCTGTGGTAATCTATACAATGGAATATTATTGAGAGATAAAAAGAAATGAGCTACCAAGCCACAAGAAAACATGGAGAAACCTTAAATGCATTTTGCTAAGTGAAAGAAGACAGTCTGAAAAGGCTGCATACTGTATGATTCCAACTATATGACATTCTGGAAAAGGCAAAACAGTAGAGATAGTAAAAAGATCAATGGTTGCCAGGGTTTCAGATGGCGGAAGGGAGGGAAGTTGGGTGGAGGAATGAATAGGTGGAGTGCAAGGCATTTTTAGAGCAGTGAAACTATTCTGTATGATATTGCAATGGTGGCCACATGATATGCATTTGTCAAAACCCATAGAATGCACAAGGCAAAGAGTGGACTCTAAACTATGGGTTTTAGTTCATAATAATATATCAATAGTTATTCTTCAGTTGTAACACATGTACCACAGGAATGCAACATGTTAATAATAGGAGAAACTGAGTGTGGAAAAGAGGGGGCATATGAGAACTTTCTTACTTTCTGTGCAATTTTTCTGTAAGCCTAAAACTGCTTTAAAAATAAAATCTATTTAAAAAGCACAGACTAAAAAAAATAGTCTGTTCAACTGGGTTTGACTTGGGCGGCTATTTGAGAATGACGATAGACATCAGGTTGAAGTTCTGGTGGACCTTGATTGCAACATGATAAGAAACAGACTGTGTTTTCCAAACATTCTCTTCCAGGTAAAAGATTGCGTTCCCTTTCTGGAAAGACGTACGACTTTTAGCAGGTCAAACCTGAATCCGTGCTCCAATACTTACAACAGCCACGTGACCATGAGCAACTCACTTAACTGTTGTGAGTCTCAGTTTCTTCACGTGTAAAATGGAGATAGTTGTATGATACCTAACCTCAGAAAGTTAGTGTAAGAATTAAATAAAGGACATGTATGTTAAAGACTAGCCAGCAGTAGGCACCAACGGACGATAGTTTTTGTTGAGGAAATCCAAGTAACTACGTTCCAAGAATCTCATCATTACATATTCTACCTTGGCTTATACATTTACTGAAATTAAGAATCATGATTTCTATTAAAAATTCTCTCAATGACACTCAACTTTACTGAAGCATAGGAAATAACTGGGAACCATAATAGTTCTAAGAAATGAAATAAAATGAGGTTAACGTAAATATAAAGGAGTTACCTACTGGCTTTTCCCATTTAATTAGCATATGCACATTCAATTATTCATACCTTAGGGAACTCATTTAGGCAATCAGGTATCCCATAAATATTCATCTTATTTACCTTCAGTGTCTCTGTCATTAGGATTGGAAATTGGCAGTGTTTTCTCAATATATTTCACAACTGGTTGCTTTGAAAAAAATTACCTGGGACTAAATTTGTATGTTATTAATGGTGAAAATGATCCTCCACATGAATGATGAATTAACAAATGGATGCTCCGTGCTCCTTGTCATCTCCTGGCTCGGGCCTCCATCATCTACTGGAGAGACATGAGCTCTCTCAGTGGGCCGGCGATGGGACTGCAGAGGTGCCATTCCGACCTTCGGCCACTAGCATGTGCTCTTGAATAGTTTTTCATGGCAGTCAGGCCCTGGGCCCGCAGGAACTGAGAGGTTATACCTCTGGTTCTAATTTGTGGAAGAGGCAGAAAGAATGTGATTTATAAGTGTGAAAGCATTGTGCCACCAACACAGACATGACCTCATGTAAGTAGGCTCTTCACAATACCAAGAATGGCCTGGAGAGCATTCACAGAGAGGAACGTGCCATCAGGATGGGCCACATAATTTGTGAGAACCAGTGCAAAATGAAAATGCAGGACTCCTTGTTCAAAAATTAAGAATTTCAAGACTGCAACAGTGGGACCTTTCTAAGTCTCAGGCCCTGTGCCTCTGCACGGGCTGCACAGCTGGAAGCCGGCCCTGTGTGCAATACACTGATTACCTTCTCCCCAACTGCCCAGCCTCAGACAACAAAACAGGGAAGAGTGATCCTTCTTGGTTATTAGGAAGCCAGTTTTGCATTATACATACTATTTCTTGAGTGCGTATTAGAGCTAGACCCTATGCTGGGCTCTGACGTTATCTCTAACACTTAAGATACACCTCCAAAATAGACTTTAGCGTTTCCATTTTACAGGTAAAGAGGCTGAGTAGCAGAGTGAGTGACTTACACAGAGCTTGTAAGTGACTGAATCAGGGTAGAAACTCAGGGTCGTCTGTCTGGCTCCAAAGCCCATGTGCGTCTCATGGGGATCATGTTGCTTTGCAGAGCTGAAACTTAGGAACATCCGAAATATAGCATGTGCAGTTTGGGGGGTAACTTTTCTATTTAAAATAATTTTATTTACCTGTAAAGATTTTGCAACACTCCTCAGTTCCCCTCACCAGGCCTTGCACTCCCTTCTTCCAGTGATAGGAAACACTGTAAAAAAATTTACAGAGCAAATTACAAGTGTTGCTTCCACCTCTTGCCCTCCTTGCTGCAGACAAAAGCTCTTTTCATTGTGTCAAAGGGATACAGTCAGCCGAACAGTATAAACTATGAGGACGATTTAGTTTCCAAAGAGGAGCCTAGTCTAAACTTTTTTGATCCACACTTGAAATAAATCAATACGGTACAGGATGGGTCATGAAAGACCCTTTGAGAAGGGAAAAGTTTTCAGAATATTGAGTGGGGCCAAGTCTTCCTTAACTTTCCCACTCACAAATTCTGTAAAAACCAGGGGCAGGGTGTGAGGAGGATATCAAGGGACAGCCTCTTGAAAATCTTTTCTTGCTTAATGGTAAGGAAACAATTTCAGAATGTCCTCACCTTTGGAAAGGAAGCCTCCTTTTGTTTGAAGCTTAGCAAAGCTCCTTTGGTTGCCATGAAGACAGATTCAGTACGAGGGACCTTTTTAGGCTGTGCTCCTCTTGGAAGCCAAGGCCCCCTTGCAGCCAACAAACAGCATGAGTGGCCCGGCTTTCCCAAAGCTCTGCTGCTCATTAGAGCCATCAGTTAACCCCCTGCCCCTGCCCATTGCCTACTTATTGTAATTAATTTTATGGCCCCTTTAAAAAAAGGGAGAGAAAAGAAAAGGGAGACCTCTACATTTTATGCTACATTGCACAAGCAATTGAAAGTTGTAGGGAAAGAAGAAAAAAAAATCCAAGCACCAAATGTTTAGCAGGCTTTTCTTCTATTTTAAAAGAGCAACCTATTTAAATCAATTATCAGCTCAAAATGAGCAGGCTGATCTAATTAGTCTTGGCCCCTTGTGGGTTGATGAATGAAAGGGAGGTGCTGGGGAGATGTGGGCTTTCTCTGGAGTCTTCGGAACTGACCACACTAACACGGACCCCTTCTGGGTTGCTAAGTCTTATCAGGCAGAATTATAGAAAGAAATAAAGAGAGACACAGAGAGAGAGAGAGTAGAATGAGAGAATGAGAGGAATAGGGGAGAATTATTAGTTCCATCAACAGAATGACTAAGCATTGCATGGCATATTTTTATCCTGTGTTTTGCCAGGCAGTGATCATTACCGTTTGATAAGTAGTTCAGAATTGTAAATAAATCAATTTGTGTTTTCTTTAAGCATGTTTGAAATGGAACAACGTATCGACTTCAGAAGAAAATATGCTGGTGGGTGATGACAGCTCCAGCCTGAATCTTGGCACATGTAACCTCCTTCCCTCTCCCGCCCCTGTCATGTCTTACCCTTTATTTAATCATAATGGCCTCTGGACATTAATATATGATTAATTAAGAAACTAATATAGGGAAGCAGAAGTGGGCAAATAAGATGAACAAATTTGGGAGTGTTGGATTGGAAGGTCTCAAGTTTCCCAGGATTTTTTTTTAATACATCTTTTTGAGTATTCCTCAGAGCAAGGAAGTAGATATTTGCTTTTTGGGTTATGACATTTCTTACCCCAAATGTTAACTCTCTGGTAAATGTTACAAGTATTTACGGTCTGAGAATCTGATATCTGTTACTTTTGGGGTTACTC